ATCCGCCAAATCTGAGATCTGCATGTTCTGCCGTTTTTCAAAATTCATATGAGAAAAATTTGAAAAATCTGTTTCTGACCCCCAAAATCGTCATTTTCGCTTCCCACATTTTTCAGAATGAACGAATTCACTTGAATTATTTTGTAAAATGTTAATTACTACTATCCGTCAAATCTGAGATCTGCATGTTCTGCCGTTTTTCAAAATTCATATGAGAAAAATTTGAAAAATCTGTTTCTGACCCCCAAAATCGTCATTTTCGTTTCCCACATTTTTCAGAATGAACGAATTCCCTCGAATCGTTTTGTAAAATGTTAATTACTACTATCCGTCAAATCTGAGATCTGCATGTTCTGCCGTTTTTCAAAATTCATATGAGAAAAATTTGAAAAATCTGTTTCTGACCCCCAAAATCGCATTTTCGCTTCCCACATTTTTCAAAATGAACGAATTCACTTGAATTATTTTGTAAAATGTTAATTACTACTATCCGTCAAATCTGAGATCTGCATGTTCTGCCGTTTTTCAAAATTCATATGAGAAAAATTTGAAAAATCTGTTTCTGACCCCCAAAATCGTCATTTTCGCTTCCCACATTTTTCAGAATGAACGAATTCACTCGAATTATTTTGTAAAATGTTAATTACCACTATCCGTCAAATCTGAGATCTGCATGTTCTGCCGTTTTTCAAAATTCATATGAGAAAAATTTGAAAAATCTGTTTCTGACCCCCAAAATCGTCATTTTCGCTTCCCACATTTTTCAGAATGAACGAATTCACTTGAATTATTTTGTAAAATGTTAATTACTACTATCCGTCAAATCTGAGATCTGCATGTTCTGCCGTTTTTCAAAATTCATATGAGAAAAATTTGAAAAATCTGTTTCTGACCCCCAAAATCGTCATTTTCGTTTCCCACATTTTTCAGAATGAACGAATTCACTCGAATCGTTTTGTAAAATGTTAATTACTACTATCCGTCAAATCTGAGATCTGCATGTTCTGCCGTTTTTCAAAATTCATATGAGAAAAATTTGAAAAATCTGTTTCTGACCCCCAAAATCGTCATTTTCGTTTCCCACATTTTTCAGAATGAACGAATTCACTCGAATCGTTTTGTAAAATGTTAATTACTACTATCCGTCAAATCTGAGATCTGCATGTTCTGCCGTTTTTCAAAATTCATATGAGAAAAATTTGAAAAATCTGTTTCTGACCCCCAAAATCCGTCATTTTCGTTTCCCACATTTT